AACTTAAAAATTAATTTTTGAAAAGTTAACATTGTAGAGACATTAGGTACTTTTTTGGAACCAGAAATATGAAAAATTAACAACGCCTTCGCCGGGAATCGAACCACGGATCTCTGGAATACCGGCCCAGCGTGCAGAACCACTACACTACGAAGGCACGCTAGGAAGGCGGGGGAAATATCTTATAACATTAAAGAGGGATTAGAATTGGGAATATTTATGAGAACCAAAAGATTTTTATCGATGCCTTCTTCGGCGTTTTATTTTGCAATATTTGTTACAATTTCCTTCGGTTAGAGAAAGTTTTAAATTCGTCATTAACATTTTAAACCAGATAAAAGATATTAAGAACCATCTCTACATAAAAAAACACAGGAAAAGAAAATTTTCAACGGAAACTATCAAATTGCTAATATGATTAGGAAAATAAGACTATGATATTTTTTTAGATAATTGCTTTTTTTTATTGATGAAGAAAACTTTCTGATATAGAATTTTATGTCTTTATATTCATATTTTTATGTCATAAGAAGACATGCATTAGTATCGAGATTTTCCAAATTCATAGAAGCTAAATAATTATTAATTGTAATATAAAACAAAAGAAAAATTACTTGAAAATACCAGTAAACTTTGGATAAACAAATCAAGGTGTATTGTATAGATCGTCTAAATTTATAGGAAGGGGAGGGATAATGACTCGGGCCTTGAAGCATCTTCACGAGAAGTAGTCACATGGTGTAAATCCAGATTTCATGCTAGCCAAGTATCAGAGTGTATTTGGAAAACGGCTAGTTCATGAAGCGGTTCTAGTGTATTTGGAAAACGGCTAGTCCATGAAGCGGTTCTAGTGTATTTGGAAAACGGCTAGTCCATGAAGCGGTTCTAGTGTATTTGGAAAACGGCTAGTCCATGAAGCGGTTCTAGTGTATTTGGAAAACGGCTAGTCCATGAGGCGGGAGTGTATTTGGAAAACGGCTAGTCCATGAAGCGGTTCTAGTGTATCTGGAAAACGGCTAATCTAATGGCGAGGCTGATTTTCATTCATACCATACTCTAAAACAATGTTGTACAACAGCAATAAAATTCGTTTTTTCATATGGCAGAACACAAGTAGCTTTTTCTATTTCAAAAGCGGCCATTACTCTAGTGATGTGAAAAGCGCTTATGTGATGCTGACATTACGAAAACAAAGAGAAGGTTGCAAACTTAAAGATATCCTCCACGAAGTGGTACTAAACGCGACCTGATAAAAATGAACGCCTTTCAATTTGTAAGAATTTAATCTGTATGTTTCTTTTACATTAAATAGTTATATATATGATACTAAAATGAGTAATATTAAAAAGAAACTAAAAGAGATTTCACAAACTAAACAACGTGCTGAAATCCGAAGGTAATTTAATAGTAATAACACAAATATGGAGAAAATATAATTTTTTCTTTAGCCAGGGCTCAATACACCATAGTATAAGAGCAAATCCAAAGAATTAAAGGAGGAGAGAGTGCTATGTGTCCCCTTAATATTTTTCATGGGACTGATAGCACGAGATAACCTTATTCAATGAGCAATTCTGAATTATGCAATATGCAACGCAATTAATGAATAATTAGTTACTGTGTAGAGACATTAGGATTTTTTTGGAAGCAGGAGATGGGAAAAATGAGCAACGCCTTCGCCGGGAATCGAACCACGGACCTCTGGAATACGCGTCCAGCGTGATGTCTATTATACTACAAGGGCATGCTAAGAAGGCGGGAGAAATACTTTATAACTGTAAGTACACAATTATAAGATTAATTCATTTCAAATTTAATTTTTGACATTAATGAATGTATTGTTTTTTGTGTATTTAAAAAAACATAGTTTTGACCCTACACTATCTCGTAGTACCAGTCTTTTGAAGACAAGCTGCAAAATATCTTAGGCTTTAGAGGAAAAAATGAAGATCAACGGACTGATAGAGTTTTGCTTATTAGTGCTAATTATTCATATTTTGTTCAAAATTTTATCTGTTTTGATCTGTACCATATCAATATTACTGATCATCATCTAATCGCCTGTAATTACAGGACAATTTTCGAGAGCAACATATTATTTTTTTACAGAATTTTTCATGTCTGAGTTTTTCTGTTTTCATCTGTTTCTGTTTTTTACGAATAAAATGACACGTTCTTTTATTTATTAGAACAGACTGGAAATGATATTGAACGCACTAAATTACCGATTACCGCTTTGTAGGTATAAGTTTTACGGATTATCCCTGCATCATCTCCTAGAAAAATTATCATACTAGCAATCCCAGGAAACCGGAAAAAGAAAGTTTTAAATCTTGCACTGCCCACGGCTGCTGATTTAAAGCGAAAAAAAAATTATTCCGTTTTTAATTTTCTACAGAACAAAAATATTAAAATCATTATTTCTTACTTCAGAGAAAATCTGTTTTTTCATTAAATTATTCTGGCCAATGATCTCAATTCTAACTGCTCTTTGACTGTCGATCACTTCAATAACTTGTTTCCTGGTTGCTTTTCTTCACTTTTCGATGAATAGATGGTGCCAGGCCTTCGATATCTATCATTCTTGAATTTTTCTATGTTGGTTTGACGTCGGCACACGCTCGTTTTTTATGATTTTCGCTCCCGCAATTAAGAAGGAAGGTAATAAAATTATTTGTCTATAAATTTACTCATGATGCTCCGTTTCCTATTAATTATTATTACTTACTTTAGTATTTAGCTTTTCGTCGTGCTCTTTTGTTTTGTTTGTTAGAATTTGGGGTATTTTGAGGATATTCGCGATTTCTAATGCGGTGAATCTCATTGTTAACGCGTGAAAGGAAATTCAAAGCTTAATGTCATTCTAAAGCTGCAGAAAAGCTCCTTGGTATTGCAAAATAAGCATTTCTCCGATAAAGAGTGTTGTTGAAATTATTTCTGGTGTTCAGCATTTGTAACTATAATGAAGGAATTGGAAGAAAATGAAAGAATATGGCTGGAGAAAGGCAAAATTGACGAATGATATAAAGGAATTTATCAGACTAAGATATATTTCATGTATATTAATGAGTCAAGAGGAAAAATTATAAGAGATAAAAGAATACAATTAGAAAATATAAAAGATATAATTAAGAAAAAGAAAAGAAAAAAAAAAGAGATACTAGCAAGTTTACTTTGATTAAGCATTGGAATGTAAAATTGCTAGATTTATAACTTGTTGTTTGTTTGCTTATTTAAGCTGAATTGCGTTATAAACGAAATTTGTGAGTAAAGTAACTATATAGGAATTTATCATTTAACAAATGACCAAGACATATTCTCTGTCGAGACCCACCAGCGGCCGAGCGGTAGAAGACGCTGCACACTAGTAGTTCGGTTCGAGGTTCGAATACCGCAAACGGGCTGGCTGCATGGATGGTTTCGTGGTTTCCTCCCTGTGTAACGTGTATACGAGCCAGTTTCCCTTAGAAAATCCTCCACGAAGGCATCTCTTCCCTTAGGCAGATAGGCCTAGTTTGCTTTCCCGTAATCTCAATAAACCAAACCAAACCCTATTCCCTGTTAGTCCGATCAAGACATATTCCATGTAATCAATTTAGAGAAGACACTAGGACAGAGCAAAGTGGATAAAGAATTTGAAGAAACAAAGTGATCGTGACTGCATATTGGAATGTGTAGACAAATTGATATAAAATCTGAGCTTATATATAGTGCCTTTACACCGAATTTTGACTTAATGAAATCATGGACTCTCGCAAATTACTTGAAAAAACCCTTTTCTTCCTCTCAAAAAATAATATAATAGTTAGTAATAAGTAAATTAACGAATTATGTATGAAAAATGTTATCCAAATTAAACTCTATATGTACACTGCTTATAGCAGTGTTATATCTTTCATTTTAAATAACTCCCTAGCAGTATCTAAAAGCAGTGTTATATCTTTCGTTTTAAATAACTCCATAGCAGTGCTATACTTTCATTTTAAATAACTCCATAATAATGCGTTTTATAATGGAACTCATGTATTTATGCATTAAGTATGATTTTTCAACGGTATAGACTAAATTTCCGTTGCTAATTATGTAGGATGGATAATCAAGCTGATCATAATAACGTCTGATGGTGCATACAGTCAGAAGTTCCTTTTATAATACGTAAGGGTTTATTTGGATGTGAATAAATCAATCACCTAATTATGATTGGTACTGTCGATATAAAAGAATACCCTCCATCAAGGAAAAATTGAGTTAAATATTTAATTACGTACGGTTATTTAAAAAATCTGAGAAATGACAGCAATCATTTATACCCATATGCATTATTATATATACCCTGTTTAACTTTTATAAATGAATTTAATTTCTATTAATATTACAAATTTTGAGCGAACGTTTACGTTATGATGTTTATTATTTTAGAATCAAGGTCACGAAAAATCACGAGTCACGAAAAATCACGAGTGTCTGCTAAATGAGCACAAATATGTAGTTTATCATTATCAACTCACGGTTTAATTTTCTACTCGTTCCCTTTTATACATATTTGATCTTCCAGAAATTTTGTAAACCCTGTAAATAAATTTTAACGTTCATATAATATGTAGTGCAACGCAATCTTTCACGTTAATTCACAGAACATACGATACTGCAAGTCATTTTCTACGTCAAGCCTTAGTTATGTTATTAGAACATCAGCATATATCACTCATCATCAATCAATAATGATAATCGCTCTTCAACTGAAGGCAGACATACATTCAAACAATAAAACCACCACAAGAAAACCCTTGAGCATAAAAAGACGAGCTTGTAACTACAGCAAAACCTTCGAGAACAACATATTATTTTTTTACAGAATTTTTCGCGCTTCAGTTTTTCTGTTTTTATCGAGTTCTGGGAAATAAAATGGCAGGTTCTATTATTTATGCCGCGGCTGCATTCAGTTGGGTGGGTTGAGAAACGTAAGATCGGGAAGAGCAGAGGAAAGATATTCCACTTACCATAAACCCTGAGCTCCTTCTCATCCATCACTGTCTGGAAATAAGGTGCCTCGGCTGATACTTCGCACCTGTAGGTGCCTTCTGAGGCCAAGTCTGTTTTGTGCATCTGGATACTGGGGCCATGGGGAAATTTGCTCTACAGGAAAACAGGAGAAAAGTGTTGCATTAGTGTGAATGTTAGTTCTGTCGTTTAAGGAGACAAATACTAATATTCATTCCTTAATGGGAAAGGTTGTCTCAGAAATTGCAAACCCACAAGTAATTTATTACTTTAAAACAAGAGAGAGATGATGGATTGAAAACACAGGTGTGTCTTCTGTTCTAGAAAGAATTACATGCTACCAACTGGGGAGTAAAATTTATCAGTAATGAAACTGAATGGCTGTTATCTGTTGATAAATTCCATGTTAAAACTAAATGGTATTCTGTATTAATATATATTTAGATATTTATTTAAATCATAATATGTTTAGATTATAATATAAATGCAAGGATATTTCGGTATTTGAATTCCATTTGATTCTCATTAATCGGTTCCAGATGTTTGCACGTATACCAAACGAAATTTTCCGATTAGAAATAATGAGTAAATAATCAATCTGTCCTCTCAAAAACTGATATTGCTATTATTATATCACTGTTTAATATTAAGATACAAAAGCAGTGGGTGAAATGAGCACTATATATAAATGAAGCAATGCACATCTAACTGTACACAGTGTATAAGGTGTTTCTCCCACTTCCCTAGCGTGCCTTCGTGGTGTAGTGGTTCTGCACACTGAGCCGGTATTTCAGAGGTCCGTGGTTCGATTCTCGGCGAAGGTGGTTGCATATGTTTCATCTTTTCTGCTTCCAATTAACCTTTTGAGGCCGGGGCTTTGGTAGCAGTAAAAGCTACCAAGAGACGGGGAATCTTGAACCGAATGCTTCCCCCCTTTAAGAAATCACCTACTATTTGCAACAAACATTCTTGTGTGTAGTTTAATGGATTCTCAGAGGGGTGCATTTATGTAGCAAAAGGAAGACCTTTGAAAGAGATAAGTGGCTAAAACCCCAGGGACGTCAAATTTGATATTTCACCCCACTTTTCAGCCTGGAAAATGGAGGGAAAAAGACATGGCCACTAAAGTGGACAACCCCGTCTTTTCAAAGAGAGGACTCATAGACGATTATCAATAATAGTCGTTATAATAATGATAGAATATAATAATGATAATTATTAAATGATAATAATGATAGTTTTGAAGGCGCCCGCCTTCAAAAGGTTAACTTAATGACTCTACAAGTGGAGGATTTGCGTATAAGCTACAAAAGCTATAGCTTAGAGCCTCCACTTTCTTGAGGGCCCCCGAAAATCTCTCTAGGTGTCTGAAAATCGTATCTGGCACTGACATATAATATTTAGACTTATGAAGGGCAGCATATATGAACTATTAAATAACTCAGGGCCTTTATCAAGTCTTAAATCCGGCTCTGACTGTACATAAGTGGTCTTCTGCTATCCAGATCAAAAGAAATTATTGGAGCCAATCTGCCTCTGTTCTTTGTTAATTCATTTTAACCCCTTCGCAACGCTAGCCAATTTAATAGCACCTTTGTTTTTCACAGTACTGGATACCATAGTAATTAGCATATAGTATGTAATAACCAAATATCGGATATATGTGCCACCTTTATACTTTTCAATAATTTTTTTTTCACCTCCAGGGTGCTTAAACAATTTTCTTCATTCCATGCTTGCTCATTAGCTTTCCTAAAACTGTTTGTTAGTGAATTAAAAAAAAAAAAAAACGCGCGGAAAAACATAAAGTCACTTGCAAGCGCGGGCTGTTTACTGAATAGTAGCAAAAAGAGTACTGGTGCTTATGGCGAGTTGCAGCATTGTCTCGAAAGAGGTTGTAGATACATTAGGTTATTTTGTGGCCGGAGAGATAAAAAAATGAGCAAACGTCTTCGCCGGGAATCGAACTATGGACATCTGGAATACCAGCCCAATGTGCTGACACACCGCACTACGAAGGCACGCTACGAAAGCGGAAGAAATACCTTATATACTCCCCTTTTTAAAAGGCGACTGGGGATTTTAGGGGACCCAATCGTCAAATCCTGGGTGTGGCGAATCCTCATCCAACACCCTTTTAATTCGAGCGCCACTGTAGAATCATTAGTATTTTGTGGAAAGCAAGAGAGATGAAAAATGAGCAAATGCCTTCCCCGGGAATCGCACCACGGACCTCTCGAATACCGGCCCAGTGTGATACCGGCCAGTGATCCACTACACCACAAAGGCACGCTAGGAAAGCGGGAAGAAATACCTTTAAAGGTAGCAAATGTAGTGCGTGCAGTTGTGACTCATGGAAACTTTAGTCGTATTTCATACAGATATGTTCTTCAAAGCGGATTTATACTGAGGTACCACTGTTTTTTCAATAATTCACAGCTTTATTTAAAACTGAATAGTCTGATATTTTGTGAAGCCGAGGTACAGAACATTAATATGGTAACTTCGAAGTAAATGGTAAAAAGGTGACGTTATTAGAAAAACTTTGTCAACGAAAGGTCAAATTTAATTTAAGAGAAAAATTTCACACAAATACAGCTTTCCCAAACTTAGGTGATTTAAATTAAAAGAACGTTTTCATTCAACTCTAAAGTTACCTAACAAATACCATCCACTATATGGAAATTTTGGTCTTATGTAACTTCTCTTACTTATACTGTCTTTGCCGTGATTTGACTAACTTATAAATATCATATAAGCTTGCTATCATTTTGCATTAATCAGTTATTTATAATTTCAGCCTTTACTCTAACTTCCCATTTCCGTTTCCTAACAAAACATATAAATGAGTTAGAGAGCATTTAAGTTGAGTTTTAAGGTTGTAAGGCAGAACATGTTTCTGCTTCTCGAGGCCACGATAGTTTTGCTAGCTCTGACAAGCTTGTAATTATTCGGCTTTGCTTATAACTGTCGTTATTTAAATTGTTACGCCGGGGAGAAGTTGAGGTTTAAGTTAGATTTAAATTAAATTGTGTAATCCTTGACTAACAAGTTAAGTTTTAAATTTTGAATTTGACTGTTACTTTAAGTTGCATCCCTACAAGTGGTGGCTGATTTTTTTAGCACAAGAAGTGCGTTTATATTCTAAGTTCTGTTGAACAAAATGGTTTGTTTTAAACCTTTACAATGCTCTGTAGTTTATTTCAGACACAGCAATAATTCCTTTAACTTCTCTTTGGAGTTTGATACTAGTTTATGCTCTCAAAGAAAGTCAAACTCTATAATCGTTATCTGCTTAAACATGCATAAATATATGCTTATTTTAGTTAGATGTAATTAGCATGTGACAGACCTGTTATGCTTCACTTTAAATTTTTACTTTATTTTATTCATTTATTTTAATATGACTTATCGGCCGCAAACGTTGAGCGTAAATAGGCCGCGAGATTTTTCTTAACATAGTAGTATCTCCATTTGTGTTGTTGCCAGTTTTGTAATTTGTTTGAGGAAAAATTTTTTTCTTGGTCCACTTGACATATATTGTTAAATCTGAATATCCACAAGAAATATCTGTATGTAGCATATGAATTTTCACTGACAATTCCATCATCAAAGAAATCATACACAACTGATAAAAATGTAGCAAATCTTTCATGAGCTAAACACTAATAAAAATATTTTTATCGGTAATATATTCCAGTGCATTATAAATGGTTAGTGAACAAATACCGAAAGTAGGATTTTTTTCAAGAAATGTATTATTCTTAAATCCGAACTTCACATAAATTTCTTTTAAATTTTATGAGTTTACATTATTTTCCAACAGAAACAAGCGTTTTGTTATCAAATCTTTTCGCGCTTAAAAAAAGAAATTATTTAGAAATTAAAGAGCGAAAAATGCTTGAGTGCTTTCATGAAAACTTATTCTTTAACTCGTCGCGATTCCAAATTGAGGTATAGTCGGACGATCTTCCCAGCTGTGAAACGGTCGTTTCAGTTACAGTATGAATACATGCTGTAAGAAAGGAAAAATCCTTGGGAATGATGCTCAGTTATGAATTTTAAAATGTGATTAATTTAATTTTAGCGTGTTAAAATTCAATGCAACGCCGACAATCTAATTATTTTTTTCATAATTTTCTTAAACAAGTTTTACATCACTTATTAACGTACATATTAACTATCGTTCATTTTTCCGAGATTTTAAATTAGCTTTCAGTTTTCAAAATTTGCTTTTGAAATTAATATATCCTCATAAATTAAATACCAAGAGAAAATTACTTTATAAAAATATGTAACACTAGTCATAGTTTAACATTTGAAAGCAGTTTTAATGAATCTAATAACTCTTATTAGATATTACCGTTCAGAACTCCAAATAGACAATTAAATTAACTTCACGCATTGTTTATTACTTTTATATTTCAAATGAAACAAAAGTATCGTTTCGTATTTTACATAACATATCTGACAATTAACTTTAGGCTTTTAAAATATTATCTCATTTCATTTACGTTACATTATTTCTCTTTCATTTTCAAGACGTTTAAAGGAATTTAGTACTTTTGAAAAAATTACGTGCATATGAATTAATTACCTTTCAACTAAATTGCAATTTCAAACGCTAATTTTTTCGGTTCATAAAACTTAACGTTACGAATTTAAATAACCTTTGAAATTAATATTTATGTCTGGTAATCACTACGTTTTCCTTCAAAAGGCGAAGATGTTCCTTTTAATTCATTGAAAATACGCTAAGTTCGCAGTCGACTCTTAAATGTGAAATAATTATTTCCCAGAAAATTGCTTTTAAATTTCGCAATCGAAATATTGGTGCGTATTATTATATTATTTAATATGCTAAAAGCACTAAGAACAGCTTTACTGATGAATTTAATTATTATTTTAATTTCAAAAGTTTAGTCACGTTTTACATTTTTAAATCTGTAGTTTATCTGTTGAAAAATTAAATACAAACATCATCTAAAAGCATAAGAGAAAGTATATATCTTTAGTTTAAGAACACTAAGAAATACTTTTTTGATGAAAATTCTTGACTATCAAAAATTCTAAGAAACATTTTGTTGATGTAATTTCTTCACTACTTAGATAAAAAAAATCGCTCACAACGATAACCTCTAAAATTAAACAATATTCAGCATGTAATGGGTATGCATCATTTTTCACTTTCACTACTTATTATTGAAACTATCTATTACTTTTTGAAAGAATCGAGAGCGAGGAGACAAGAAGGAAGTGAAAAAATATATTACTGAAATATGATAATGTAAAAATTCTTGGAAAGTTAGAAACGAAATTAAAATCGTAAAGTTAATCTAAAGTTACTTTATTTAAAATAAAAGTGGACGACTTTTTGTAAGGATTTTAACTTAATTTTAAATCTCAGTTTTCATTAGCGTTATACATTTTAACTAAATTACTCTTTACTCTATTTCCATTTTCTCCCTATATTTTGTTTGCTAAGGGGGACTATATATATATACAAGGAATATAGTATATGCAGTTGATTAGGTCGAGGTGTAGATGTGTAATAGACTGGAAAGTTTTACTACATAATAATGAAACTTGCATAGAAACACAACCGCAGGTAACTTAATTTATTGTTGGCCAACTAATTCTTGAATCATACATTTTTATTCACACATTATTATGGACGCAATACACACCCAGTCAACATGACATTCTTTCAAATTTTCATCCTATGACATACAATGGATGATAGAGAGGTAAGAAACAGCATTCTAGCACGAAGCAAGCAAAGCAGAAGTATGCGTAGTTAATCAGTATGGAAGCTTAGTTTAAGAGAATAAATATTTCGGTTCTAGAGACTTTGAATTTAAATTTTTAATTAGGTACCTATCATCGTTATGAAAAGCATGGAGAGGGAAGGCACCCAAATTAAAACGAAGAATAAAAGGGTATTACAAAATTAAAAATCAGTAGTTAGCTTTCATATTTTTACCTTATATATATATATATATATATATGTATAAAAGAAATTACAAAATTGGGAAATAAATTTCATTTCAAAGAGGAAAAATTATAAAAATCGGGAAATTTGTACATATTTAAATCAAAACAGTAAAAATTTTTTAATCATCTCTGTTTAACGCTTCAAACAGAACTTGTCAAGAGAAAAGTGTTTTGAAGCCTTAAACCAAGTTGATTAACGAGTAACGAAAAATAAAACATGTTTCGCTTCATTCCAATGACTTCCCTGAGACCGCTTTAAATTAATCCAACTTTATTTTCAAACATAATTCAATTAAAAACTCTCATAAAATTCATTTCTTTTCCCTACTCACGAGTTCTATCAGACATATTTTCGCCCTCCTATGGTAAAAAAATTACATACAAACGCAAAAAAATGATCAAACAATTATCAAAAAGGCCTAAAAAGGCTAAAGATGAATCAATTAATATACAAAAATAAAAATAGCATACGTTTACAAAATTTAATAACCAATTAAATTTAAAAAATTGAAAATTAATTCTATAGTCCATATATATAAATCCTAAAACAAGGGTGGCTTGTTTAAGTGAAGGATAAGAACCAACTTTGTTGTGAAATAAAAATCCTCTCAAAGTAAAATATAAAACAGCAATTTCTGGAACAAATTTTGCTATAAAACGGGAATAAAGATTTTACACAGAAGCAATGAAACTTGTGTGTAAAATATAAAATTTAAAAGACACTTAATTGGCAATAGACCTTTAAATTTCTAATTTTTAATTAAAGTACGACCTCTTCAAGGTATGAATTTTATCGGCAGTAATCGCAATGCGAAAACTCTTGCCCAATCAATCTGCAAAAATGGATTAAAATAAAGCACTGTTAAGATGATAAGCACTTCAGAGAAGGTACACGCACTTTCTTTTGCTTCTACGCTTACTTAAAGTATTTCTTTATTATTAAAAATGTAACGTGTCATAGTTAAAATGGTGGGATGCATATTGTCCCTGTTGTGCTGTGCCATGAAATAAAGTGTGTCTGCATAGAGTGATCGTCAAATAATAATGACATGTTTGAATTATCAAGTGAGTTTGCAATTCTTCAAAAGTTACCGGAATCAACTACTACGAAATCTCGTGAATAACATCGTGAGCTACATCTCGTCTTTCCCCACTCTGCCCATACTTGAAAAACAAATCTTCCCTAATAAAACATTTATGTGCTATCAAATTATTTCCAACGAACAAAATTTATAGTCATATATACGTAGGTGTCCGCCGATAACATCGTGGCAAAAACATCGCGGACGACAACGTCGCGGAGAAAACAACGCAAGGCGAAAACGTCGTGCTACAAAACATCGTGGGAGAAAACATCGCAGTTCTAAAACATCGTGCTACAAAACATCGTCGTCGAAAATAAAGCGGTTCAAAAACTTCGCAGTTTAAAAACATCGTCATCGAAAATATCGTGGTAAAAAATAAAGTATCTACAAATCATCGCATGACAATAACTTCGCAGACGTGCTTTTTTCAGGTTTTAATTATTGTAAATGGATATTCCCATAATGATTTGTGAGTGCAGTATGTAAAGAAGGATAATTTTTATTTTCACATATTTTATTAACTAATAAATGTTTGCTGAAAACGTAAGAAGGAAACTTAAGCATAAAAAATTAAATGCAAATTTATAGATTATACTTTTCATGAAAAATTACCGGTAAAAACTTTATAAAAATGATTTATTAATGGTCTTTGTTAGTTAACTATGTCGGTTTAAAATTCTATTAAGTGCCATAAGTTGCATTCATTTTCTATGCTTAAGTTTCATTCTTATTTTCTCAGCAAAAATTTATTAGTTAATAAAAAAGTATGAAAGTAAAAATTATCCTTCTTTCCATCTTGCGATCACAAATCAATATGGGAATATCCATTTACAGTTATTAAAGCCTGAAAGAAGCATGTCTGCGATGTTATCGCCATGCGATGATTTGTAGATAGTTTATTTTTTACCACGATATTTTCGACGAGGATGTTTTTAAATTGCGAAGTTTTTGAACCGCTTTATTTTCGACGACGATGTTTTGTACCACGATGTTTTAGAACTGCGATGTTTTCTCGTTGCGATGTTTTCTCCCACGATGTTTTGTAGTACGACGTTTTTGCCTTGCGTTGTTTTCTCCGCGACGTTTTCGTCCGCGATGTTTTTGCCGCGATGTTTTCGGCTGTAACCATATACGTATATATTTAAACGACCAGTTTAAACTTTCTGGAGGGAATATAGGGAGGATACATGAGAACTATCACTATTGTAATTTGGCTTGCAAAATTCTGTAGCAAAATAAGAGGTAGTTGCACTGCATTTTGTTATAAGTAGTCTCTTTTTCTAGATGCACAGAAAACAAATACTCAAAAATTAGAAATATCCCGATTACACGTGTGTATTTTAATCTTAGAGCTTACAATTAAATCAGTTATATTTTGAAATTTAGAATTACAAAAGGCAGAACTATATCTGTTTTATTATTGATCTTCCTTTGTGAACCAAAATACGGTTCACAAGCTATGTAGCTTTGAATTACAGCTCCCAGTTACACGAGGAGGGATTGATAGGGCCCTTTCTGAACGAAAATGCTAAATTGTTTATTGTGAAACAATGGAAAAAATACCGTTATAAATCCTCAACGATGTAAGATTCTATACTGTGTACTTTTAAGTTACAGTTGAATGTGAAGAATCTTAAGAACTAGTAAGCGAATAATCGCTTGACTTCGTGGGATAAAAAGCAACAAGTAAGAAGGGTGAAATAACCCTTTATTATTCTAATAAGGTGTATCAGAGTCTCCGTCTCCGAGTTGTAAAATAAAGCTGACACTGGGACTTAACTAAACTATTCTTAACTAAAGAGATATAGCCGAAGCTTCCAAACTTCTAACAGAATTGCCCCTTAACGCTAATAAACTACGAAGCTATCAAGGACCTAAAGTACGGCCGAGTGTAATAATAGCTTAAGAGAGAGTAGCCTAAAAAGGCGGACGCGTGCTAGCCAGAATCTCTGGTTCTCTCTTCCTAAGACAGTAGAACTTCGCGGTTAAATACTACTCCTCAAATTTGCATTCAAACATGATTCTAAAACTATGTTCTGGCCGGAAGTTGTAAGTTGAAATTTCGAAGCGATAGGAAAGGAACTTTAACTGTTAGGAAAATTAACATAATCCTTACAGGGTAAAGCAAACCTAGCTAAGCAAAATACAGGTGAGAATATTCTGTAGATTAAGCTGCTTGAAAATGCAGATAAATTATTAACATTATCTTTATGTTATTCCTTTGGTAAGCTTCATACTAAAATTAAGCCTCCCCAAGAGTCTTCCATTTGATTTTTTATAGGGGTAGATTCCTCTCCTTGAAGAAGACAAACCCATGCCTTTCGCACTTTAAATCGACAGTTATATGAAATATACGTTATCTGTACATATAATTATGTTCTTCTTATTCGTGCCAAAGACAGATAATGTAATTGCCATTGGTTAACTTGAAAACAGTATCAGTACATAGTAAATTTGTGCTGGCTGTATACGCATGATACGAGTACGCATTTTAAAATATAATCTTCGCGTAGGACATTGATGGAAACTAACAAAAAAATTTGAAATAATGTTTAAATATAAAAAACAATATATAAAAATATGTTAAATTAAATATCATTTATGTTTGTATTCTTGTTTAAATAACAAAGATAATTGATTCGCATACATCAACTTACATCTAAATATATTCCTCGTAGAGGATATTTCTGTCCAGGAGGCTTTTCACTCGGTATATACCGATAAAATTCGACATTGTTTTTGTACCACTTGATGGAATATAAGATGTCTCCTTCCAGATCGAATGTGCAGTTGAGAGTGATAGCTTGTCCTCGAAGTATAGAAGGGGGCACTTGTAGCTCCAACATCCTTAGTCCACTAACATCTGCAAAATGATTTTCAATTTAGCTGAAGATTCATATTGCTTACAATTTGAATAAATATTATATCCATTGAAACATTACAGTATATATGACAATCTAGATTATCTGCTTTGTCATTTTTCGATAACACATTTGTTTTTTGAAATACCAGTAAAATTTAACATATTATAAATATAACATATTATAAATATAACATATCATTAATAATTTACTGATTTAAAATCCCATGATTATCATAGTTCATCTTTAATTCTCTTCCAATGAATGCCGCAAGTGTAATATAAAGTTGTCAAAATTTAATAAAGGAAAAATAAAAAATATTATTACAAAAAATAAAGGCAACTGTTTAAATTGGACACGATTAAGGGAACTCGTACACCTTAAAACCCACAAGATCTTCGATATGTGATTGTTGCAAGAATTGGGATAACTTACTTATTTTAAAAGCAATTACTTCCAACATTTTACAGCTGACTACATAATATCGCTGCTTTCTGAAATAGTAATAAGAAAGTTTGTGTTGCCACAAATAGTTTTTATAATTTTATCCGCTTTGTGACAAAAGTTTTTGCCATGTTTCCACCTTGCGAGCACAGTTTAAAACATTCTTTTGCATAATTTAATTCCATATTTAGTAATATAGCTTTTATAACATTTGGAAACTACTGTGAACCAAAACTTCTAAGAATTTCATGTTAAATTTTTATTTTATTTGGAGCTGAGTTTATAAAACGCATTTTATTAAAAATATCTGTAATGTTTTCGTGCATAAAATTTTTTAATATTAAAATATTCAGCGGATTTTTGGTTCAGTTAAAAAATAGTGTCTATATTAAGAATTTCATCAAATTTCAAGGATGTGCCATTAGCCATTTTTAAAATATCATGCGCGCAAGGTGGAAATATGAAGAAAAATTTTGCCACAAAGCGGATTAAATTTAAAAATATTTGTGGGAACACAAACTTTCTGGTTACTAGTTCCCAAAGCAGCTATATTATGTAGTCAGCTGTAAAATGTTGGAAGTAATGGTTTTTAAAATAAATAAAATATCCCAATTCTTGCAACAGTCACATATTTGAAGATCATAAGGGGTTTAAGGAATATGATCCCCCTTAACTCTTTTCTCTTACTTTTATTTTATTAAAATTTTGCATTTCACACTAGATTTTTTTATCTTTCATTAAAAAAAATATTAGAAATTGACTGCTATCCTCGTTAAATTAAAAATCTTTGGCATTTCGCAAGATTGTTTCCTTCCTTTTCACTAGTGCCCACCAGCGGCCGAGCGGTAAAGTCGCTGAACACTGGTAGTTCGGTCCGAGGTACGAATCCCGCGAACGGGCTGGCTGCATGAGTGTTTTCGTGGTTTTCCTCGCGTGTAACGTGTATGCGAGCCAGTTTCCCTTAGAAAGTCCTCCACGAAGACATCCCTCCCCTTAGGCAAATAGCCCTAGTGTGCTTTGCCATAATTAAATACACCACCACACCACACCTTTTCATTAATGAAAATTTAAAAATCGATTGCTAAAAAAATATATACGAGCAACAAATTACAAGGCATTCAGATAGGCTGCTTATGAAGTTATTTTGCAACTCATTCAAAAAGGTGGTCAGGTGAATTTTTGTTTTCTTAATGGTTATTATAAGAATGCGTTTCCAATTGTAAAATTTCCTAAAATGAAGTAAATGTTATGAAAAGAGCTTCAGAACTATTATTTGTAAACGTATTTGGAAACCAAGGATTTATTCATTTATTAACTCCTTTGAATATTACTGTGAAGAAATCTAGTTATTAAGTATAATTAAATTTATAATGATTATAAGTATTATCTAAATATATATAGTAACCTCAATATTTAATTATAAACATAAATTGAAATTCTTAATGTGTATATAAAACTATTTAAGCAAAAAAGTTTTCTTAGCTGAAAAGCAATTTGTTAAAGGTGTTGTAAAGCAAAGTTTATGAGATACATAATTAAGGGATTAGTAAAAAATAATCTGAATACGTGTTGTTGAAATTAAGGGTAAATAAATTTGATAAGTATCAAAAGAATTATCTCCTTACATTTTATGATAACTCAGTTACAAGTTTTAAATAATATTTAAAAAAATCGTTTTTTATTTGCTTTCAGAAATACTCATAGAAAGTTAAGTACATGGAAATCAGAAGCAATATTTAACATATTTCACTATTTAAATGAAAGGTAGTCTAATTTGAAAAGAAACGAATAGAGCATTAATTATAAAAAAATCCTCTCATATTTAAGAAAGTATTTTAGGAAGAAGTTATGTAAATAGAAAAGAAATATAGCGTAATTTTAATATTAATAATACAATAAACTTTTTATTCTATTTTTTGTAATCCTTAAACGAATAGAATTGAATTACCTTAAAATTTTTTAATGTAAATAACGAAAACTTGCAAAAAATATTTCACTCAAATTAAACTATTCTAAGTAAACTATTATGGGAAACATATAGCATTTAACTCCGTTCAGAATGAAGTGTTGTTTAAAAATGCATTCTTTTCACATACTTTGGACTCTGAATAATTATATTAAAATAAAATATATGTATTTATTATATTTGTGACGTAATTACAAAATGTTTACATCCGATCATGTCAAAAATCCATTGATCCCTTAAGAGCAAGTAACTGAATGTTTTGGTCTCCACGAGGGAATCGCCAATGCTTCAGAGCAATGCATGGAGAAAACCACTTAGGGCCTCTGCTCTTACTTTCTACCTCCATGTCCACTAGCACTGTTTTCTGGAGAAGCGTTTCGGCTCGTCGTGTATTTTTTGAGTGTTCCTCTTGCAGCACAGATACTATACGCTTAAAAGCATCTATGTCTTCTCCTGGACTGGAGCCTGGCCCTCTTCAGTATGTTAGTCAGCTTCATTAGCCATTATACCGGCTGAGCGTCCATCAGCTATAGTAGTTGAAAAGTTTAGTAATTCATGTCAGCAACAATAACTGGAGAACTCCCATCAAGTTTGAAAGCAAATTCGCTGTGTCATACTATCTCTGCGAGTACTATCTCTGGCAACTGCGGCAATGGGAAGTAATCTAACACCCTCCATATGCTTCCGATATGAGACTGTACGACTGACTACTGGTGAGTTGCCACTACTTCTTATTGAATGCTTTCATTTATTGCTGTGTACAAACGCGTTATCCTCCTTCGAAAATGGATAATGTCAAATGCTTCTCTCTATATAAAACTATTTCACAATGGCCGAATGTCGAATATACAAAAATCTGTGACTCAAAAAAGCCTTACAAAAAAAAAAAAAAAAAAAAAAAAAAATCACAATACCTTATATTGTATTGTGATAACTTGAGTCAAAATACTTCAAATAATGGATTTTCAGATATGTATGTCAGCACTTATTATTGCTGCATATTTCACGAGAAAGTAGATGCAATTAGCAAAGATTTCTGATTAATGTACTTGTCTACTTCAGTTCTAAGTTTCTTTCTAAAACTCTGAGGTAATTAAAAATTTTGTCATACTAGAGGTTGAATTACATTACTTTTGAAGTCTGCTTTCAAGAAATTTCAGGTAAGTGCTCTTTATTACGTATACAGTGACTAACTCTTGAAAGAAAGAACACTACTAGCGGATTTTCTTTATAAATTCGTTATATAATTTTCCAAAACATCTTAACCATATTTAAATACCACCACCTCATGAAATCCGATAATTCTTTAATGTTTAATAAGCATTCCACTACTTTTTATCCAATGTTTTGAAAGTCGAAATCATTAAACGCAAAGCTTAAATTACACCGGAGCTCACTTGAGCTCTTGACGCAACTTCTTTTATATAGCTAAAGCACAGTTTCAGCAAAAAATTCTTTGGATCTTGAAAATTTTACTTTAATTAAAAAAACAAAAAACCTACCTAAAATCTATTTTAACTGAATGTATGTCTGTCTTTCTCTGGTAAACAAGTTTTTGGATGATTAAGTTGAAAAAACAGAAAAACTCCCACCCACATGTCATACGATATTTCTCCAGGAAATGCAATGAATTTATGACAGCATGTTTTTAGTTCCCGAAAGTGGAACTTTAGAAAGGATGTAATTAAATACGGGGAAAGAAAATTTTCACATGCACATAATCTTAATTTTGCTCTTAGTTAACAACTCGGACTTCGGAGGAGAGTTTGGAGAACATTTTTTTATTCCTGTTTATTCCAGAACTGGTGTTCGGCAAGAGGTCGTGTTCAAAAAGTTTTGCACACTCCTTTCTTTGTTTTCACACCTACACCTTTGCACATCTACACAAGAGGACAGGGGGACCCTTGGATTCGTCCGTCTGAGGACCTCTCCTTCAAAATTGAGGGCGGAATTGAGCAAAGTCGTATTGTCGCCTGTATGGTACCCATGGCTTTTGCCAACTCCAGTCCAAATCGTGACTGCTTGCCATGACGAATTTCGTGGGTTTAATCTAATTCAGACAATATTAGTAACAACAACAAATTTTCATTGAAATTTCCTGTGGCCATTCTCTTTCGCTCCAAAATTGGGGTTCGGCAACAACCTCCTTCTGGTTATTATCTCTCCCTTTAGCACTTCTTCTCTCAAATCATTTTTAACTTCCCCTCCCCCCCGAATGTAGACAGTAACTCTCTTCCTCCCTAGTTCTTGAATTCAAGCATATCTGCTTGGTTACAATACTATATGCAAATAACAGTATTCTGTACCACATTATTCTGCAGTCATATGACTATGGCTGAATAACTATGTGTAATATTTTAAAATTTTATGCTATTTGATAACTACCTGCCTATATAAAGCATTTTTATGACTTTACGAAATAAAGTAGGGTTATACGATGCTTGTTTAACTCATTTATTAGTAATTTACGCGTTACATTAATAACGATGAATGCTTTGAAAATATCAAAGATGAAAGTTTCCACTGCTGTTAAACACATGTTTCTGATGCATTTCCTATGAAACAATAGTTGTTTTACTCATTTCTGTATAA